ATACAAGATTATTATATTATTAATCAAAAGATAATTAAATTAAACTAAACTGACTGTAACAACCTATTTAATTAGCTGTTGGGACTCAATCATTCAAGAGACCAAATTTTTCTTTGCTCCACTGGACAAAGGAACTCACACTCCACAGTTCCTCACCGTTCACACCTGGGGACAACCCTTCCCCCCACGGACCCCACTGGCCAGCCAGAGTGGGTCAGCGTGTGACATGTGACCCCCAAGGGTGTCACCAAACAAAACCAGATCTCTGGCCCTCTTCTCGCTCTCTTCTCCCTCGGCTCACTCTGGAGAGCAGCTCCAGCTCTCTCCTCTCAGCTCTTCAAAGGGCAACAAGGCCCCAGCCCAGGTCAGCCCTGCTACCTGAGAAACCAGCTCTCGCGCCGGCCTGCTACCAGCAGCCTGCAAACGCTCTTCTCCTCAATAGCAGCGACCTGGTTCGGATTAACTGTGAGTGAACCAAATCCTCGTCAGAATCAGCAGCTACGACACAAGGCCAGCTGGTTTTCCAAGCAACAAGAGACGTAGCAGAGTTAGCATGGAACAGCTAACTCTGTGAAGAGAACAAAGGAGATAACTGCAAAGCAACACAGCCAGACAGGACTTTACTCCACCAGGAAACCTCCCAACTCACAGGACTTTACACCAACACTGGAAAGGACCTCTTTGCTTGTTTCCAGGACTGGGTAACGTTAACTGACTGGGCCTAACCTTTCACAGCATAGCACCGCACAGCATAACTAAGCAGCAGAAGTCTTAACTTTGTTAATGTACTTGTTGATTGATGTCTTGTTGTTGTAATGTTTGCTTAGGTTGTGGTCAGTCATACAGTTAATCAGGTACTCGTATGTTCACACACATACTGTAGCAGTACGTCTCAGTTCTAGAACCTGCATGAAGCTAACCAACCCCCTCTAACCTGGTACCTTTAGATTACATGAGCTAGGCTAACAAAGAAACTCACACCTTCCCTCTCACACACCCCAGGTGGTCCAGCGGCCATTTTGAGTAGTTTCTTTGTTTACCGCCATCTTGTGTAGTCTTCTTTGTTCAGGTCATGTGGTAACAGTGACCACTTTGAATCGGCCATCTTGCCTTTGTTTGTGTCCCCACAAACACACACACAAACACACACACAAACACACACAAACACACATACACACACCTGTATATACTAGATCAGACATTGTGTTTTACTCTGCTTCATTGTAAATAAATGCCTTTAAGTATAACTACTGGTGTGTTTAATGTTGCGCAAGCGTGAATGTTGCCAACCTCTACTTTGTAGAATTCCAATCCTTCAACCTTAACTTACTGTTGATTTGGTAGTTTGGTTATAGTTAGTAAGCTAATTGTTAATCAGAGTTCCAGATTAATGGTAATAATTTGAGACTAAAACTATATTGGCTATTTTGCCTATTTGTTTAGGCTGGTGCCCCGTGAACTTAAATTAATTTTAAAGTTATTATTTAACATTAATACTTCTAATATTAATATTTTCTTAATTTATGATAGCCAATAAATTCATAGACAACCGAAATTCAACATATTTGCCGTCCAGCTCATGAGGTAGAGCTCAGACCCAACATAGCAATTTTTTTCAAGCATCCCCTCAATATGTATGTAAATCTAACACTCTAATATTAAAAATTGTCTTATGCAGACTGTTGCATGGACTGTAATTGAAGTATAATGAACAGAGAACTGGAAAAAAAATCATCATTGTTAACTCAATGAAATCAATCTCAGTAAAGGTAAGTCATTTAAAATAAAAACAGGGATCAGTGATTGATCGTTAGGTATGCCCATTCAGAGCTCATTCACGTCTCTGTCTGACTGGTGATTGGTCAACTGAACAGGCTGTTCTGTCCTGCCCACTGATTGCAGAGAGCAGAGCCACATCAAAATATTAATATTAAATAATAACTTTAAAATGAATTAAATTCCTTGGGGGCACCATCTTAAAATAGGTTAGAGTAGCCAATGTTGATTCAGTCTCAAATTATTACTATTAATCTGGAACTCTGATTAATAATTAACTTGATAACTATAACCAAATTACCATATTGACAGTAAGGCAAAGTTGAAGGATCAAAGTACTAATGAGTAGAGGTTGGCAATGTTCACCCTTGTGCAACATTAAACACACCAGTAGTTATACTTATACTGTGTGTGTGTGTGTGTGTGTGTGTGTGTGTGTGTGTGTATGTGTGTGTGTGTGTGTGGGGGGGGTGCCTGTGAGGACACAGACAAAGGCAATATGGCCAATTCAAAATGGTAGCTGTGACCACACGGCCTTAAAAGAGAAGACTACCACAACATGGTGGTAAACAAAGAAACTACTTAAAATGGCAGCTGAGACCACATGGTGTGTGGGGAAGGGAAGGTGTGAGTTTTCTTTGTTAGCCAAGCTCATGTCGACTCAGGTTAGAAGGAGAAGGCTAGCATGCAGGTTCTAATACTGAGATGTACTACACAAATGTGTTACACAAATACCAAATTAACTGTCTGACTAACCACAAATTAAGCAAACATTACACCAGCGAACTAAGTGGATAAGTTAACCAACATGTACATGTACATTGACGAAGGTTAAGAGACCTGATGCTCAGTTAATAAAAATGAACTTTATTTGTTGTGCTGTGCTATGCTTTGCTAGGTGAGGTTAGGTGCAGTTAATGTTACCCAGTCTTTGGAACAAGGAGAAAGATCCTTTCCAGTGTTCTGGTAAAGTTCAGTGAATTTGTGTTGCTTCCTGGAGGAGTGAAGTCCTGTCTGCCTGTGTGGTCTCTCTTTGTTCGGCTTAGGTTAGCTGTTCCACACTAACTGCTGTGGCACCGGTTGCTCAGATAATCAGCTGGCAGACTTTGTGTCGTAAACGCTGAAGTAAACTTGTCCACTCGCGTCACTGCTGTTGAAGAGCAGAGTGAGTGCTGCCGCATGCTTTAAGCAGGCCTGCAAGACTTTCAGGTAGCAGGGCTGACCTGGGCCAGGGGCCTTGTTGCTCCTTAAAGAGGTTCAGAGAGAAGAGAAGAGCTGCTGCTCCTGAGTAAGCCAAGGAGAGAAGAGAGGGAGAACGAAGAAAGGGATCTGGTTGTCTGGTGACACCCTGGGGGTTCACAAGTCACATTTTCTTCAGAAAATGCAGAAGTTTCTAGTTGTAATATTTGTAATCTTGAACTTCCATAACATCAATCCTGAATGTTATTTATATATCTAAAAATAGTTATTTATAATAAATCTTTGATTTTAAGCATAATCACTCCATGACCTCTGCTCTAGCGCCACCCTTGGGACCAATGTAACATTTAGCTCCAATTGTGTTAATTCTCTACAAATCACAACAGTCAGTCTGTTTGTTCTCTACCAACACTGCAGGCTGCAGTACTTCACACCTCTTCTCCTATAGATACAGCACATATTTAGCATTTACATGTTCAGGTTTGAAGGAGAGATGCTATGTACTGTGTATGTGGTTTACTGCTGTTTTTAAATTTCTCAAACAAGTGCAACATGACACTATTATCGATATTTTTCATTGGTATTTCTGTCTGGATGTAATGTCAAATCTAAGTCACGATTCCCCAAATATATACATCTCAGTTTGAGAAATACCAAAACACACACAAGGAGTTATTCATGTACTGGCCCCTGCCCAATCCCGCCTTGCACTGCCCATCATATTAGAGGGGGCGGCACACTGTAGCAGACTGTTGTGCAGTGCTTTTGCCAGCTCCAAAAAATGTTGCATAAGAGAGGTATAAATAAACTCTGTCTTGAGCACAGATGGCATGTGGAACCCCTGTGGGTAAAGGGATATTCACACACACAAACAAGTTTCTGCTGGTGTATTCTATAAACAATCTTATCTTGAAGAGAAACCTAATTACTCCAATTCTAGTCATGTTAACGTTTATGCTAATGTTTAGTGTCAATATGTGGTCCTCCTTGAATTGGGAAAACTAACCTGTTACACTACATGGCCAACAGTACCCTGGGCACCTATGCTGAAAAGACTTCTGCAGACTCTATCACACGTCCATGTTTCCTCTGCCTGTAGCTCATGGTCATGAGAGATTCTCTCCGAGACCAACCCTAACCCAACTTCCTGTTGGCTCCCACCACACATGAATGAAATGGAATTATTTAATCAGATGGCTCATGTAGACTTTCCAAATGTTATTGAACCAAATGAATCAAATACTGATAAGTCATTCTGAGTTTGTGACACTCATTTACCATTTATTTACTGTTTTACAATGGCTCCTTTTCCAATGGTTGTGTGTGGGAAAAATACTTTTTGGGTCAGAGTGCATCACTAAAAGGTTGAGCAGGTGAAATTGTGATTCCCTGTTTGGATACTATGCTAAAATCACCTCATAATCAGCTCCATTGCTGTGGATTAAAAACAGTCCCACACCAAAGGCCACTAAAGAATGTGGACAGGTATGTGTTGCCAAAGAATCTGTCACCACATCAATCATAAATTAATTGCATGTTTCCAATGTGTTGTTAAATAAATCAGCCTTGGCATGAATTTGCATTCAAAAACTATCAAAGCTTAATAAAGGGGCAGTTCAAATTCACAAAAAAAAGGTTTTCCTGCGTAGTTCTTCTGATACGTAGAGATGCAGATTTCACTTTTACTTGCATGTTGAAGCATCCACTAGATATCAAGCTCTAACACCCAATCTATACATTTCATCCCTGGGTTCATCTCCAGCGTGTCAGAGGGAACTGCTATGCTTCAGTTTGAATCTGTACATCTAATGGCCCACACCACACTGGAGCTTTGTAACTGCAATTCACAGTGTATGTTTACTTTGTTTTTGTTCTTCCAACTTCCAGTTCCAACTGTAGCTACACTGATTGTGATGATTGCTGTGCTGCGGACAGATAAATAGTGTGTGTGTGTGTGTGTGTGTGTGTGTGTGTGTGTGTGTGTGTGTGTGTGTGTGTGTGTGTGTGTGTGTGTGAGAGCATACCTCAGTGTGTGTGACAGGCACAGAACTAATGCCGGCATTGACTGCAGTCCAGGAGCGAGCGGTGAGCACACAGGCAAACAGCGGGTACAGATCTCCAGCTCCCAGTCTCCGGCTGTAACGCTCCACCTTGGATATGTCCCCTTTAATCAGAGCCTGCCACAGCCGACAGTAGTCCAGTCTGAAGTCTGGCTGCAGGATCTGGAGGGGAGATGAGGGGGGAATGATGATAATGATAATTTATGGTACTGCAAACAGTAAACAATAAATTGCATTTGTATCACAAACATCTGTATTTTTGTGCTTTGCATTTTCTATTGTACTCAGTCTTTATTTTTTATTGAAGATTCTAAGCAACAAAGCCACTGATCACCTAGAGCTCCTCCTTCATAGCCTCCTAGTGAAGATCATCACTGGCTAATTCAGAGAGTGGAGAAAGTCTTCACTGCCTCTGTTGTTGTGTTCACTGTTCAGCAGAATCCAACAGCAGGACATGAATAGTGCCATCTGCATGTTTGAGCATGTTAATATGCATCCTCTTGTACAACATAAACAATATGAGGACCCATTGCTCCATAGCAAGGTTATTATCATTACCTAAAACTAACAAAATAACCAAAACTAGATGTGAATAAACATTTTGTTTACTGAAATAAAAATAAAAATAAAAACAAAAATGAGGCTTTATGAAAAAAGATAACTAAGTGAAACTGTATTGTGTCTTTACAAAACTAAAATAAACTAAAATTATGGAGAAAATGTCTTTGGTAAGTTTTGGTCTTTGTCAGTTTATTCCATACATCAGTTGGTGTTTTAGGAGGATATTAAATCTATCTTCAGTTATTTAGCTGTGTCAGATGGAGCAGTAGCTTATAGCTGATTGGCTCTCAGTGTACGACCAGTACATATGCACTTTAATTAACATTCACTATATTAATGATGTCAAGTATGTTGTAGTTAATTAACTGCAGTGATGAGCCACAGAGCTGCAGCTGGGTAGTCCAGTTCATGGATGAGTTCATTTTAAGTTGGTTCATCTAAATGAATCAAACCTCAGAGTTCATTGGAGTTTTTTTCTCAGACTGACTCGACCTCCGTCTTACCTCGGAAACACAACTACACACCTTTACACTTCAGGCTGCATTTGGTGTCAACCATATGTGTGTGTCTATATCTACAGATTGTTGTTTGTTTGTTGTTGTGTCCAGTTGAATTTTTCTGGTTAGTGAAACAAACACATTAACACACATCTTTATAGTTGTCTTTTGTGGATGTTGTTGATATGTCCTCTATGGATACATTTTTAAAAAGCTGTGATGTTTTGATAAGTTTTTACTAAACAATACTTTTTCTGACCTTTTTGAATCTCATCCTGACAAATCCCTCATATTACAAAAAACTAAAACTAACACTGACACAAATAAAAACTAAATGAAAACTGAGCATTTTCAAAAAATAAAACTAAACGAGCAAACCTGCTTTAAAAACAAATTAAGACTAAACTGAAATTGGAAACATAAAGGTAAAACTAATCCAAAACTATTGGAACATTGCTCTATAGTACTTCAAGAATGAGCCTTTAACCCAACCTGCCTGTCTTTATCAATTCAAGTATTTCCTTTGTTTTGTTGTCATGAGTTAGAGGCAGGCAGTAGGTTTCTGACATCAGGTATCTCGACAACAAGGACCAGCAACGTGCGTTGATTGATTGGCCCCCAACTAAGCACTTTAGACATACACACAAAGTGTAGTACCCTATTGGTAATGATGCTGGAAATGACTGTGTGTGTATGTGTGTATTTGAAGAGTGGATTAATATTCTACTCCAAAATGACAGCTGAAATTTGAAGTCATTAGGAATAAATTGGTGCCATTATGGTCGAAGGGAAGTCTGTCCGTGTGTGTGTGTGTGTGTGTGTGTGTGTGTGTGTGTGTGTGTGTGTGTGTGTGTCAAAGATGAAGGAGTTGCATATTTATCACTAAATTCCCTTCATGAATACAGAAACAAGCAATAAACAGACTCATATCAGACCTGTGGGTGTTTGTTAAAGCAAGTGTGTTAACAATCAAAAAGCATGTGTGTGTACAACATGAGCGTGCATATATGTGCCTTTATAATTAAGGCTGTGGTGAACCAATCCAAACATAGCACACTGCACTCTGCCAAGAACAACGTTAAATGAGCTGTTTATCAAAAAGCTTTTATCCTGCTGCAGCTCTAATATAAGTGTGCCTGTGGAAGTGTGTGGTGACCATGTGTTATTTTATGTGCATCTTGACATCTTCATGTTTGTTTGTTACTCTGCCTATATACTCAGGGCCTCAGTCAGCAGCATGAAAAATGGAAGGCAATATTAGAACCAGTGGTATTTTCTTTATGTCCATGCAGCCTGGAGATTTCCCACCTGATAAAGGCCGTGATCCAGCAGGACAATCTCTGTCTTCTTACTCTGGGGACACTTTCGGACCAGCACATTGCCTGGGTGTGGGTCACAGTGAACAAAGCCATGGACGAAGATCATTTCACTGTACATCTTACCCAGGTTCTCTGAGATCTGTTGGTAATACAAAGGAAAAGTTCACAGTTAAGTGCACACCATGAGCTTAACAGTTTCACTGTGACATGAGTATTAAATAAATACAGAAAGAAATAATTATATACACTGTTTCCCATAAAGTTGGAATAATTTTGTTTTCAGACACAATCCTCTGTTTATTCATATTTAAATGCATCAGTAATCACTTTTGACGAGGTGCAATGATTACATTATGTGTCCCAATAACCCAGGTGAAATGAAATAAATCACATTGTCACAATCATTTCATGGAAAGAGGTAAAAAATATTTTATTCCAACTTTATGAACAACAGTGTATATAAATAAATGAAAAATGGTAATAAAAAACACTATTGTTGAATTTTTACATTCATTTATTTATTTCTACATTTATTTATTCTTGTATTCATACATTTACTCATTTATTATTATTATTATTATTGTTGTTGTTGTTGTTATTATTATAATTATTATTAATAATTTATATTTTGAGCACAAGAGGCCCTCAAATGATCAGCCATCCACCCCTTGTTTTTCCACTGTAGGCTTTCACTTGCGACAGCATGTTTTCAAAGGAGGAGCAATTATACTCAGTCTACACTGTAAAACCTAACAGTACATCTTAATAAAAGAAGTAAGTTAACATAACTTAATCTTGGAAAAAAGTTGGAGTCACTCATTCCCATGAATTTAACTCAAAAATGAATTTGTTGAAGTAATAACTCAGTTGTTTTGAGTTCACTTACATTTTTGGAGCATTTTAACTATCGGTGATATAATTCCAGTTTGTTCCATTGACTCATTTTCTTTAAGTTGACTTTATATCATTACAAAAATGTAAGCCCCGCTGATGGGTTGCTATAATGCTGAGTATGGCTTAGGATTTTTCAATTTTTTGCATTCAAATAATTCTTGATCGTTCTTGAAATGATCTCCCAATGTGTGAAGATTTGATGTTAGTCACATAAAAAAAGTAAAAAGTATTACAATTAGTCATTGACAAAAAATGTATCAGTCACTATTTTAATAATTGAATAATCATGTAAGTACATTTTCAAATAAAGTAAATAAGTAAATAAGTACATTTAAAATTCAAAGTTTAAATTTTATTGTAAATTTAATATTTTGGGTTTTGGACTGTTGGTAGGAAAAACAAGGCATCTGATGATATCACTAAACAATTAATCAAAAAAGTTAGTTGCCCACCTAAACTTTATTCACTCTTCATTTGTGTTTGGGAAACCCTGTTTGTTGCATCCTGCCCTGCCGTTCACTTTGGTCTTTGCGCACGCGGTACTGAGAGAAAAAAGAGGACGTGACCGGCTCAGACCAGTTTGCACTCAGCACTGGAATAACGGAGAAGCTCAGGTGGACCCGCTGCGCTAATTGATTTGGCGACTCAGGACAGAGATAGGGTTTTGTCTTCCACACGAGGTAAGTTTTTTTTGTATTGGTGCACAGCATGTATTACTGTTTGTCATGCCGTTTTGAATTGTAAAAGTACATTGTGTGAACGCCAAAACGCGCTAGCTTACTGAGCTGTGCAAACTTTAGGCATAGCTTGCAAGCAGCCCAATTCCTGCTTTAGTGGTTCAGAAAGAAACGTTTCATAACGTTAAGTTACTTGACAGTCGCTGTCAAGTTGGCTGCTGAGTAACGTTAGTTTGTAAAAGTTTTTTTTTTTAAAGAATTTTTTGGGCTTTTTTTTGTGCCTTTAATGGACAGGACAGTAGAGAGACAGGAAACGGGGAGGCAGAGAGAGGGGGAATGACATGCAGGAGTCGAACCGGGGGCCAGCTGCAGCGAGGACTGGAGCCTCCATATATGGGGCGCCTGCGTAACCTACTGCGCTACGCGACGCCCCAGTTTGTGAAAGTTTTATGTTAAAAATGTAACTCTGTTAGCTCGCTAGCTAATATGCTCATGCCCTTCAAGAGCCACTTAGCTAGTGTGCTTTTTTCTTTCGGTTAGCTAGCTAACGTTAAGGTAAGTTAACTGATGTTAAAATAATTTGAAAGCACACAATGAGGCAGCAACCCGACTAAACACCATTTAAAGAGAGAATGCACAAGAAAATATGTAAGCTAATGCTAGCTATAGTAAGTTAGCCTGAACTGAACTTGGCACTTTCAGTCACGTTCTCCACTCACACTGCATGTGCACATTTTAATTCACTAAAGGTACATTTGTTGAGAATACATTCTGAGAAAAGAGTGGTAGGTGGAGACAGTCATGATTTGACTATTAATCGGGCATGTCATTGCCCTTTGTGTGATTTTAAGCAGCCATTTGTTGAGAGGGACATGTATGTTCATCTAAGGGGGCATTTAAGATGGAAAGAAATTGTGCCATGTCCATTTAGGACTTGCAACTTTAAAACAAATGACTATGAGATCTGGTATGTTGAGCATTTGCGGTCGTATGAGCTAACAGATCATAAAAGCAAGCGTCATACGGTGAAATCTGTGTGTCAGCTAACTGACCAAATGCCGGTTTGCCCACAAAGTTTCAAGTAAGCTAATTCTCACAACTAAACATTTCATTCCAGTGTCTGAGTAAAAGAGCAGCACCACACCAAGCAGCCATCCTCAGCCTTTACCTGAGGGAGGCTAAAGATTGGTCTGGAGCTTTCTATGAACACTAGTGATCACCACCCTGGGCACACTGGACAATATATTTAAAGGTAATGTCCATTTTCTGCTATGACCCAGGTGTTATAGGTGCATGTGCTTTGTGTGCATCAGTGAAAAACAGAGCCATCACCTGGAGTAGCTTTGTCTTTTATGTTACAGGTTTCCCTAACATAGTGTAAATGGAAGCGACTGATGTTCTGAAACTAAGAGTCGTCCTTGATGATGTCAACGCTGAGAGGCTTATTTTGCCCTCTCGTCCAGAGACTGTAAATGCCCTCATATTTGAGGTGAAAAATAAGCTGAACCTGGCCTATGAGTTTCGCCTTCAGTTTCAAGACCCAGAGACAGACAGACAATGCCCTATGCAATTTAGTTAACATAGAGGACCTACCATCCAAGGCAATCATTAAGATAGTTAGATTTGTTGAGTTAGATCTGAGTTCAACCAGCACCGATGACATAGTGTTATTGTCTGATAACACAGATTCACCAGAGCGTCTTTGCCGATGGCCAGAGATCTTTGTTGTTCCAACATTCTCATACGAGGTGGAGTATGCTCTAAGAGAGGGCAACTCTGCATTTGTGAGAGAGGGGAAAACTGTCTGGTTGACCAGGAATCAAAAACACAACATACTGGATGTATTGGCTGCTGAAATATATAAGCATAAAGTATATCCTAGCACCAAACAGATTGGCCAGGCTGCAGAGGCTCTGGTGAGCAAACACGCCTGTCTGAAAGAAAACGGTTCCAAAACAGGGTATGAGGGTTGGCAGAACAGCCTGCGCTTCAAGATGGGCAACTACAGGACCAAACTGAGCAGGGTTGGCATAAAGGATGTGACTGTGAATGCAGGAAAGTGTAGCAGGACCAATCCAGATGCTGCAGCATCCAGGGCCATAATCAAAAGACCTAGAAGAGGGGAAGTCAACTTCCTTCCCAATTATCCCCATGGAGGAACTAAGGACACACTGGAGACCAAGAGGCTTGAGATGGTTGAGCAGTTCAAGAGGACATCGATAGAAAGAGACATGATTCTCATCCATCAATATATGCAGCACACCTCTGTCCTGGGGCCCCTCCTTTTAATCATCTACCTCCTTCCCCTAGGCAATATCTTCCGCAAATTTAACATTGACTTCCACTGTTACGCTGATGACACCCAGCTCTACCTCTCCACTAAACCCTCATTCACTCTCCCGCCCACCTCCCTAACTGATTGCATCACTGAAATAAAAACGTGGTTCACCCTAAACTTCCTTAAATGAAACAGTAACAAAACAGAGGTTCTCCTCATTGGCACCAAATCTACTTTATCCAAAACCAACAGTTTTTCTCTCACTATTGATAACTCCTCCGTTTCACCCTCCCCCCAGGTTAAGAGTCTGGGTGTCATCCTTGACAGCACACTATCCTTTCAATCCCACATCAATAACATTACCCGGTCTGCCTACTTCCACCTACGAAACATTAATCGCCTCCGCCCCTCCCTTACCCCCCACACTGCTGCCATCCTTGTCCACAGCCTCGTCGCTTCCCATCTGGATTACTGTAACTCTCTCCTCTTCGGCCTCCCTCATAAATCCCTCCATAAACTTCAATTGGTCCAGAACTCAGATGCCCGTATCATTACTCGTACCCCCTCCATCCACCACATCACTCCTCCAACAGCTCCACTGGCTACTGGTTCAGTTCCGTATTCATTTCAAAGTTCTTCTATTAACATTTAAGGCCATCCACAACCTCGACCCCATATCTGTCCGACCTCCTCCATGTTCCCACTCCCTCCCGCTCCCTCAGATCTTCTTCCTCCACACACCTGTCTGTCCCCTCCGCCTGTCTTTCAGCAGCATTCAGCCGCTCTGCTCCCTGTCTCTGGAATCCACTACCACCCCAACTCAGAAATATCGATTCATTCCCCCATTTCAAATCACAACTCAAAACACATCTGTTTAAAACTGCCTTTTCCATCTGATGCCAATTGCTCTGTCACTTTTGTATTGTCTTTATTTTTACATGTCATTTTTATTGTTGCTTCTTCTTAATGTGTTTTTAATGTCAATTTATGTAACTCTGTACGGTATCCTTGAGTGCCAAGAAAGGCGCCTTTAAATAAAATGTATTATTATTATTATTTACCTTTGCACTCAGGCGTGAAGAAATTGAGAATTCAGCTCCTCCCATTGCTGAACTAAAAGACAGATGGCCTGCACTCTATTGTGAAGCCCAAGTGAGTAAAAACTTAAAAGGGACACTTCAAAAGTTGACAAGACACACATATTGTCAAAGTCACCATTGTAGGAGTGCTTGATCTGGATAAAGAGCTTAAAATTGAGTTGTTTAATATGGTATGTCTATTAGTCTGAAA